AAAAAAAAAAAAAAAAAAACAAAAAACTACATTCTTTAAGCTTCATTTTGTATTGCATTACCTTGTGCTTCTGAATATAACTAAAATATATTAGTGTATGAACATTTTACTAATTTAGCTCTTTTAATGGCTTCTTCTAGATAAATTCTGACCTCCAACCTTTTATTAAAGAAAAGACCAGTGAATCTATGACTTTTAATCTCAACTCAGCTCCAGTAGTCTTACATCAGGAGTTTCTTGGAAGAGATCTGTGGATTAAGCAGATCAGAAAGGTAAAATGAAATCGCTCCTATTTTAAGTATCATTAGTATTTAGTTGATTTTTAGAAAATAATTCATATTACATGATGATTTAAGGCTATAGATCAACCACATATGGGCATATTCATGTAACAGGTAAAATTCATTCTTTATAATCCTGATTTTTAAGAGGTAAAATATTGGGCGGTGCCTGTGGCTCAAAGGGGTAGGGCATCGTGCCCATATTCTGGATGTGGCAGGTTCAAACCTGGCCCCAGTCAAAAACTGCAAAAAAAAAAAAAAAGAGGTGAAATATGAGTTAAAAGCTAGTTAGAGACAGCAGTACTGTGTATTCTTATTATTTGAGTTCTTATAATACTACAAACACAAAACTAGTGCCTGTGGCGAATGCTAATTAATGCAGATGATGTTTTTTTTCTAAAGGCTTTCAAAAATTGGGCGATGGTAATAGCACCACCCTATAACTGACTGCAATTTCCCATCTGTGGACTCTAGCACAAGCTGCAGAATTCCAGGAGCTCCGTCTGTCAGCTCATAGGGTTATTTTAAAACAAACTTGGACCCTGAATACTTGCTCTGAGGCATTATCAAAGAAAAAAATGTGCTAAAATGGGGAAGGGTAAAGAGGCTTGAATTGGGTGAATTTCCCATTTCTTTGGGAGTGGCAGATAAGAAGGAACTTTTCTGATTTTCTTTGAATTCAGAGAATACTCAGAGAATATTCAGAGTATTCAAAGAAAAAGTTCTTACCTTTTTAATCAAAAGCCTCATTGAATTTATGTAATATCATGGTTGTAACTGGCTGGGTTAATTGGGGCTCTGGACGAGGGAAACCAGGCAAACCTGGTGGGAGGAGGGGCGCTGTCCTTAAAGCAGAGAATCTAAGGATTACCCAGTAGGCAGTGGGTGCTGTGGCTCACGGGTATTCCCAGCTACTCATGAGGTGGAGCCGGGGAGTTTGGGGCTACAGTGAGCTATGGTTGTGCCACTGGACCACTTCCCCTCTCCCAATTCTCTCACCTTACTTATTCCCAAAGTGCTGTCATCCAGCTTAAAATCACTCATATGCACCAGTTAGAAACTGGAGAATGCCTTTCTAAGGAATTGTCATACCCAGAAGAAAAGATATGCAGATGTGAGTGTTTGGGGTCCCATCTATAAACATCCCATATCCTTGATCAGTCCTCCCATAATGAGACCCACTAGATGACAAACCCCAAAGGGATCCAGGTATACAAAACATCCAGCTGCCCCCTTCTGAAGCAGAAATAGGTCAAGAGAACTGCTGAGCATTTGGAAAAAGACTACCGTGAAAGAATGAGTCAAAAACAAACTGGTGGTCCCTTAGCAATTCCCTAACAATTAAAAAAAAAATACCACTGGTGGAAAGGAAACATAGAGGGACGGTGTAAGGAGAAAAGACACATTCCGAAGGACTATAATTCACATGCTCAGGCTGTGCCCAGTGGCTCACACCTGTAATCCTAGCACTCTGGGAGGCTGAGGCAGGAGGAGCTCTGGAACTCAGGAGTTTGAGACCAACCAGACCAAGAGCTGGTCTGTACCTACTAAACAGACAAAAATTAGCTGGGTCATGGCAGATGCCTGTATTCCCACCTACTCAGGAGGCTGAGGCAGAAAGATTGCTTGAGCCCAGGAATTTGAGGTTTCTGTGAACTTGATTGATTTCACAACACTCTAGCCTGGGCAGCAGAGTGAGACTGTATCAAAAAAAAGTGAGGTGGTGCCCATCGCTCAGTGGTTAGGGCTCCAGCCACATATAGCAAGGCTGGCGGATTCGAACCCGACCCGGGCCAGCTAAAACAACAATGACAACTGCAACAAAAAAATAGCCAGGCTTTGTGGCAGACATCTATAATCCAAGCTGCTTGGGAGGCTGAGGCAAGAGAATCACTTAAGCCCAAGAGTTGGAGATTGCTGCGAGCTGTGACCCCACAGCACTCTACCCAGGGCGACAGCTTGAGACTGTCTCAAAAAAAAAAAGTGTAAGAAAGAAAATGTGACATAATACTCCATGTGGCTTAGAGAATCATATTAATATAGCATAAAAATGTGAACACTAAACATTGATGTACCCAAAAAGTGTAGCTGAATAGTAAGAGGGTAGAGAAAAGGAACATGTTTGGTCATGTAAGAGATCTAAATTTTCTTTTCATGCAGGATCAGTAGATAATATGTAAAATTTAAAAATTAAGAAAGAGGGCTTGGTGCCCATAGTGCAGTGGTTAGGGTGCCAGCTACATACACCAGGGCTGGCGGATTTGAACCCAGCCCCAGCCTGCATAACAAACACAACAACAACAACAATAGCTGGGCATTGTGGTGGGCGCCTGTAGTCTGTAGACTATGAGGTTGCTGTGAGCTATGACACCACAGCACTCTGCCAAGAGCAACATAGTGAGACTCTGTCTCAAAAAATTAATTAATTAATTAAGAAAGAAAGAGTCGTATGTGAAGGTAAACACCAGAAGAAGCAGCTAAAAAGGACATAGGACACACAGCATCTGGAGAGAGCTAAGTTATTTTTGTCTGTCCAATACTATTGGACTTTTTAAATACTATCCCGTTTGCTTTTATTTTAAAACTTTTAACTTAAAAATTTATATGCTGGCCCGGCACCTATAGCTCAACCGGCTAAGGCGCCAGCCACGTACACCTAAGGTGGCGGGTTCGAATCCCCAGCCCGGACCCGCCAAACAACAATGACGGCTGCAACCAAAAAATAGCCGGGCGTTGTGGCGGGCGCCTGTGGTCCCAGCTACTTGGGAGGCGGAGGCAGGAGACTCGCTTGAGCCCAGGAGTTGGAGGTTGCTGTGAGCTGTAACGCCACGGCACTCTACCCCGGGGGGGATCTTTTGGGTCTGTCTCTCAAAAAAAAAAAAAAAAAAAAAAAAAATTTATATGCTTTGGCTCAGTGCCCATAGCACAGTGGTTACCATGCCAGGCACATACACCGAGGGTGGAAGGTTCGAACCTGGCCTGGGCCAGCTAAACAACAATGACAACTGCAACAAAAAATAGCCGGGCATTATGGCAGGCTGAGACAAGAGAATCACTTGAGCCCAAGAGTTTGAGGTAGCTGTGAGCTGTGACACTATGGCACTCTAACGGAGGGCAACATAGTGAGACTCTATCTCAAAAAAAAAAAAAATTTTATATACTTTGCTTTAGAAATTCCATGTCTAGAATTTTATCTAAGGAAAATATTAGGGATATGGGCAATAATTACATATTAAAATGTGTACTAAAATATCAATTATAAAAGAAAGAAAATGAAAGCCAGGCATGGTGGCTCACTCCTATAATCCTAGCACTTTGGGAGGCTAAGGCAGGTGGATTACCTGAGGTCACAGGTTGGAGACCAGCCTAAGCCAGAGCTAGACCCTGTCTCTAAAAAACAGCTGGGCATTATGGCGGGCACCTATAGTTCCAGCTACTTGGGAGGCTAAGGCAAGAGAATCACTTGAGCGTGAGAATTTGAGGTTGTTGTGAGCTATGATGCCACAGCACTCCACCAAGGTGGCAAAGTGAGATTCTGTCAAAAAAAAAGAAGGAAGAAAGGAAAGGAAGGAAGAGGTTCAATGAAGTATCACACAACTATCAATTATTATATTGCTGGAATATAAGTGTTTGTTTTTTGACAGCTGCACTGAAAATATATATACAGATGGTGTCAGTAGCTCTAATTGGGCTATATTAGAATACGTTACGGATTTACATTTTGGTTGAAAAGATCCAGCTGAGTATGTTAGATGAAAGCTACCAGCTCTTCCTTACATATTCACATACATAGGTTTACATAGGAGTAGCATAGATTAGGAACTTTAAAGAAGCATCACAGACAAATCTTATGCATCTTTGCAAACACAAAGTTATAAATATAGACAAATGAAGAGTTGTAAATGAGCATCCCAGAACTTTCCAAACACCTAGTAAAATATCCCAAACTTTAATTCCCAACTAAATTTGTTGTTGTTGTTGTTGTTTTTGAGACAGAGTCTCACTTTGTCACTCTGGGTAGAGTGCTATGGCATCATAGCTCACAGCAATCTCAAACTGCTGGCTTCAAGCAGTTCTCCTGCTCAGCCTCCCAAGTAGCTGAGACTAGAGGTACCTTCCACAATGCCCGGCTAGTTTTTCTATTATTGATGAAGACGACATCTTGATTTTGCTCAGGCTGGTCTCGAACTCCTGAGCTCAGGCGATCCACCTGCCTCAGCCTACCAGAGTACTAGGGATTACAGGTATGAGCCATGGCTGGGGAAAAGGATACCGCTTCCTTTGCCTTCTAGTAACTTGAGTAAATCAAATATACCTTGTCCAAAAGTCAGCAAACACCTGAGTTGATGTCCTTGAGCAGAGGATGTCCCACCCTCCCACCTTAATCCCTGTGGTCATTTCTAAATCATCATCCTTCAATAAAGGCGGGTAGTCTACTGCCCACCTCCAGCCCTGCCGGCCTGCTTTGGCTTGCTTCTCTGGCCAGGCCCTTCTCCTATCTGCATGTCTGAGTCGTGGAGGGAATTACTGCTAAAGCAAATAAGAAATAAATTAGTTTGTGACAGGCAGGGAACAACATTCTTCAGATTAAAGACTTTTCACTAGAGTTTATTTTAATCTTTTAAATTGGCTGGGCACAGTGGCTCACAACTATAATACTAGCAGTCTGAGAGGCTGAGGCACATGGATCTCCTGAGCTCAGGAGTTCGAGACTAGCCTGAGCAAGACCAAGAGCCCATCTCTTCTGAAAATAGAAAAACTAGCTGGGCATTGTGGCAGGCCCCTGTAGTCCCAGCTACTTGGGAGGCCGAGGCAGGAAGATTGCTTGAGCCCAGGAGTTTGAGGTTGTTGTGAGGTAGAGTGATGCCATAGGACTCTATCCTGGGCAATAAAATGGGACTTCATCTCAAATAAATAAATAAATAATGAAAGATTAGCTAGTCCTCTTCCATCACAATCCTAGGGCCCCCGGGTACATGTATAAGAGCGAG